CGGACCTGACTGGGGAAGAACACACACACACAGGCACACACACGCGCGCGCGCACACACACACACACACACACACACACACACACACACACACACACACACACACACACACACACACACACACACACACACACACACACACACACACACACACACACACACAAACAACTGGAGAAGGACATACACATACACACAAAACTGAAATAATCTAGAGAGGGATAGAGGACATCAGGAGACACATGGGGAAAGATGCAGACACAGACCATGACAGTACCCCCCCCCCCCCCCCAAAAGGCAGATACCAGACGCACAAAACCAGAACTAGACTAAATCACAAACGGGGAAACAGGAGGCGGGAACAGGAAATCCTGGGGATCGGGGGCTTTGGAGGAGGAGGCAGAGGAAGGGACTTCAGCAGACGAGGAAGGGTCTCTGGAGACTGGGATGGGGACTCGAACACTTGAGACTAGGACGGGGACTCGAACACTTGAGACTGGGATGGGAACTCGAACACTTGAGGAGATTGGAACACTTGTGGAGATTGGAACACTTGTGGAGATTGGAACACTTGTGGAGATTAGAACTCTTGTGGGGAGACTTGAGCCTGGGACTCGAGAGACTGGAACACTTTTGGGGACTGGAACACTTGTGGAGAGACTTGAGCCTGGTACTCGGGAGACTGGAACACTAGTGGGGACTGGAACACTTGTGGAGAGTCTTGAGCCTGGGACTCGGCAGACTGGAACACTTGTGGGGACTGGAACACTTGTGGAGAGTCTTGAGCCTGGGACTCGGGAGACTGGAGCACTTGTGGAGAGACTTGAGCCTGGGACTCTGGAGACTGGAACACTTGTGGAGAGACTTGAGCCTGGGACTCGGGAGACTAGAACACTTGTGGGGACTGGAACACTTGTGGAGAGACTTGAGCCTGGGACTTGGGAGACTGGAACACTTGTGGGGACTGGAACACTTGTGGAGAGACTTGAGCCTCGGACTAGGGAGACTGGAACACTTGTGGGGACTGGAGCACTTGTGGAGAGACTTGAGCCTGGGACTCGGGAGACTGGAACACTTGTGGGGACTAGAACACTTGTGGGGACGTCGAGACTTGAGACTGGGACGTCGAGACTTGAGACGGGGAGACGTCTACTTCAGAGCTAGAGCTGGAGACGTCTACTTCAGAGTTGGAGCTGGAAACGTCTACTTCAGAGTTGGAGCTGGAAACGCCTACTTCAGAGCTGGAGACGCCTACTTCAGTCGACTTCGAGACAGGAGGTGTCGACTTCGAGACAGGAGGCATCGACCTCTGGCCTGGAGGCGTCAACCCTTGGCTTGGGGGCGTCGACTTTGAGACAGGAGTCGTCGACTTTGAGACAGGAGGCGTCGACTTTGAGATAGGAGGCGTCGACTTTGAGACAGGAGGCATCGACTTTGACACAGGAGGCGTCGACTTTGAGACAGGAGGCGTCGACTTCGGGCCTGGAGGCGCCGGACTGGGCGGAGCATCTTGGACAGGCTGCGCCGGACTGGGCGGAGCCTCTTGGACGGGCTGGACCGGAGCCCCCGGAACGGAAATGGTGCAACCTCCGGGACCACCACTGTAACTGGACACGGTGCGACCTCCGGGACCACCCCTGTAACTGGACACGGTGCGACCTCCGGGACCACCGCAGTAACTGGACATGGTGCGACCTCCGGGACCACCGCCGAAACTGGACACGGTGCGACCTCCGGGACCACCGCTGGAACTGGATATGGTGCGACCTCCGGGACCACCGCTGGAACTGGATACGGTGAAGGCAAGTGGAGCTCCAGCTCGGGCTGCAGAGCAGGGGCCTCTTGGACAGGCGGCACAACTCTGGCCTCGGACGGCTGCATGAGCTCAGACCTGAGTTGCAGAGCAGGGGCCCCTTGGACAGGTGGCACAACTCTGGCGTCTGACGGTTGTATGAGCTCAGACCTGGGTTGCAGAGCAGGGGCCTCTTGGACAGGCAGCACAACTCTGGCTCCAGACTGTTGCATGGACTCAGGCTTGGGTTGCAGAGCAGGGGCCTCTTGGACAGGCGGCACCGCTCTGACTATAGACGGTTGTATGAGCTCAGACCTGCGTTGCAGAGCAGGGCCCCCTGGAATAGGCGGCACAACTCTGGCCTCTGGGGACTGCTGGTGATGATGGTGACGTCTGCGACGAGCATGGCTCCTCGGAGGTGCGGGGATAACGCCGAAAATGCCAACTGGACCTGGTGGAGGTGTGGTGGCTCGGCCCATCGGAGGTTCCGCAATGGCGCCGGTCGAAACAGAGGGAGAAGAGGAGTGACAGCCCACCGGAGATGGAGAGGTGGCGCTGTCCGGACCAGGCAAAGGTGTGGAGGTGCTCATGGATGGTGGTGGTGGTGGTGGTCCGTAGCCGAAGGTTGCCAGCAGCTCCTTAGTGAACGGCCAATACGAAACCTCTTCTATGGGATGGATGTCGAAATATCGGGTGGCCCACCGCAGGGCTCTGCCTTCCAGGCAGAGCACCAGGTATGAAACCTTATTAAACTCAGATGAGTTCAAGTCCACACAGCTGGCAACATCCTGGATAAATGTCCAACAGTTCTCAGGCTCACCATAATAACGGTACATCTGGGTCATCTGCTGGGTCCTGGTTGGTTGGTTCATTCTGTGTTAGGAGGAGGTTAGGACCCAAGATGCAGATACCCCAGATGACACAAGGCAGGAACATTTAAAAGTAAAATCCTTTTATTAAGGAGGATGAACAAAAATCCAAAAATGACAGGAAGCCAAAAAACCAAACTCCTGAATCCCAGGAGAACCAAAATCTCACGTAGAGCACAAAAACTGAGACGAGATACTAAAACTCACACAGAGGACCAGAAAACGCTGACATACAAATGACAATGAACCAACAAACACAGAGTGACAAGACAGGGCTTAAATAGACTGAGAAGATGAGAGGGAGATGAGTTGCAGGTGTGTGGTGTGAGAACCAGGTGAAGGCAATAGCTAATCAGGGAGGAGGAGCAGGAAAGGACATCGGACCTGACTGGGGAAGAACACACACACACACACACACACACACACACACACACACACACACACACACACACACACACACACACACACACACACACACACACAAGCAACTGGAGAAGGACATACACATACACACAAAACTGAAATAATCTAGAGAGGGATAGAGGACATCAGGAGACACATGGGGAAAGACGCAGACACAGACCATGACAGTCCATCCCCCCCACCCCCCCCACCCCCCCCCAAAAGGCAGATACCAGACGCACAAAACCAGAACTAGACTAAATCACAAACGGGGAAACAGGAGGCGGGAACAGGAAATCCTGGGGATCGGGGGCTTTGGAGGAGGAGGCAGAGGAAGGGACTTCAGCAGACGAGGAAGGGTCTCTGGAGACTGGGATGGGGACTCGAACACTTGAGACTAGGACGGGGACTCGAACACTTGAGACTGGGACGGGAACTCGAACACTTGAGGAGATTGGAACACTTGTGGAGATTGGAACACTTGTGGAGATTGGAACTCTTGTGGGGAGACTTGAGCCTGGGACTCGAGAGACTGGAACACTTGTGGGGACTGGAACACTTGTGGAGAGACTTGAGCCTGGTACTCGGGAGACTGGAACACTAGTGGGGACTGGAACCCTTGTGGAGAGTCTTGAGCCTGGGACTCGGCAGACTGGAACACTTGTGGGGACTGGAACACTTGTGGAGAGTCTTGAGCCTGGGACTCGGGAGACTGGAGCACTTGTGGAGAGACTTGAGCCTGGGACTCGGGAGACTGGAACACTTGTGGAGAGACTTGAGCCTGGGACTCGGGAGACTAGAACACTTGTGGGGACTGGAACACTTGTGGAGAGACTTGAGCCTGGGACTTGGGAGACTGGAACACTTGTGGGGACTGGAACACTTGTGGAGAGACTTGAGCCTGGGACTCGGGAGACTGGAACACTTGTGGGGACTAGAACACTTGTGGGGACGTCGAGACTTGAGACTGGGACGTCAAGACTTGAGACGGGGAGACGTCTACTTCAGAGCTGGAGCTGGAGACGTCTACTTCAGAGCTGGAGCTGGAGACATCTACTTCAGAGCTGGAGCTGGAAACGCCTACTTCAGAGCTGGAGACACCTACTTCAGTCGACTTCGAGACAGGAGGTGTCGACTTCGAGACAGGAGGCATCGACCTCTGGCCTGGAGGCGTCAACCCTTGGCTTGGGGGCGTCGACTTTGAGACAGGAGTCGTCGACTTTGAGATAGGAGGCGTCGACTTTGAGACAGGAGGCATCGACTTTGAGACAGGAGGCATCGACTTTGACACAGGAGGCGTCGACTTTGACACAGGAGGCGTCGACTTTGAGACAGGAGGCGTTGACTTCGGGCCTGGAGGCGCCGGACTGGGCGGAGCATCTTGGACAGGCTGCGCAGGACTGGGCGGAGCCTCTTGGACGGGCTGGACCGGAGCCCCCGGAACGGAAACGGTGCAACCCAAGCAGAGGCGGAGCTGGCCTAAATGGCGCCCTGTGCGAGATCCCCCGTGACGCCCCCCCCCCCCCCCCCCCCCCCCCCCCCCCCCCCACACACACACACACACACACACACACAAACACACAAGAAAAAAAATTACACCTACAACTTTGTTTCAAATTGCGTGGAGTGTATTATATATAACGTTTGCTAACCGAATACAACATCCAGCTCCTGGCCACCTTCTCACCACTTGTCAAAGTTCTACTGAAATAGTGATGATGACAACACCTGCCATCGCCTTCATTCCTGGGAAATATGAAAGCAGTTGGCACCTTGGTAGGTCCTCTTCGAACTGGCTCTGTGCGTATGCTGTCGGTAATTGGTGATGGCCACTTGGCTGGGTCTGAAGAAAGAGGCTCATCGTCACCTTCAATGGGACTCATTGGTTGATCGTTCAGGCTTCTCTATTGACAGAAAACAAAAGCGTAACTCAACACATTGCTATGTGGACCATTTCACATATTCTATTAAAATACAATATGTGACATTCAAATTTCTCTAATGTTTGCAGGACACACACACACACACACACACACACACACACACACACACACACACACACACACTTGTGCAAAACTTACCTGATGTATCTTGTTGGGGAGACGTGGCAGCTGGCTGTCCCTCATCAAGTTCACATATACTGGTAGGTCTCTCTATTGACAGAAAATGGAAGCATAACTCACCACATTGCTATATGGAACAATTCCCATATTCTGTGAAAATACTATTTAAATGTTTATAGCTAAATGTTTGCTGGACACACACACATGTGCAAAACCCACCTAAAGTATCTTCCTGGGGAGATGTGGTGCCAGCAGACTGTCCCTCCTCGAGTTCAAATACTGGCCTACTGGTATGAGCAGTGGAGGTAGATGGCTGTTCCTCAGTGGCAGCTGATGTCATCACAAAATATCTGTGTAGGGCTCCTGATGTTGCATAAAACAAACAATACAATCTTCATGTCACGTCTGTAGCTTTAGCATTTTAATTAACATGTTACAATGAGCATTTACAGTTTTCAGCAGTGGTGGAAAGAATTCTGAAAATCTGTACTCAAGTACAAGTACTGTTACATTGCTAAAATATTACTCATTTACAAGTAAAAGTACTGGTGTTAGAGAAATACTCAAGTAAAAGTACAAATTATTCATAAAAACCTCAGAGTATTATTTATTTTTAACGGCTGATGTCACCATCACTTCTCCAGACTGGGGCTGCCTGGAAATTGTGTGTTTTCCTTTACCAAAAGTTAAAATACCAACAATCAATTAATCATTAATAATTGATAAGATACAAAACAAGTGTTTTCCCCTAATTTTTTTGTCATTTTAAGTTTTTATTTCCTTATTTAGCAAATGTCTCCGGCACACAAAGAACTAAATGACCAGAGGAGCCACAACTATTGATTAAATATCCATGAATCCATTTTAACTGGTTAAATTCTTCAACTCTCCCACGCTGCTTCAAGGTCACTGTGAGTTAACATAGCCACAGTGTGCAGCACACTTAACGCAACACAATGACATCATCGACTTGTACAGTGCTGAAAGGCGAGACAGTCTGAACTTTCAGCTAAAAAAAGACCGCTCTAGCTATTATAGTTTTTATTTTATGACAGTTTACAGTTTAAACGGGATCTTACTAGCAGGGCACCTCCAGCGGCCCGCTGCCGCTCCGTTTTTCGTGGGGTAAATAATACGTAGCTCATTTCCCGAGTCCAAATAGAAAGGCGAATGGGGCCGGCGCGAGACCTGCCGCCCGCCGTCAATGTATTTCAGCAAAATTCTCAAAGACTCATTTTAATTTGATAGCGTTTGGTTATCAGCCTTTCGGTTTTCCCACTCTTAGCTTTTCATAAAAGCTCATTTGACAAAGAAAAAGCTAGCGGTTGGAAGTAGTTCTAAATACATGCAACGTAAGAAGCTAGCAAAAGACATTTGAAGGGATCATCATAGCACCATGCAAAACGTTCAGATTAGAGAGGTTAGTTAGTCAATAAGTTGGGGGACAGGCGGGAAAAATACCAACTAAATAATAAAGAGATGCATACCTGCATCTTTTCCTCGTTTCTCCTCCTCTTCTTTTCTTTTTTTCCGAAATTGGGCACCAGATGGCTTCGACCGCTTCTTCTCCATTACGTTTGTGAGCGGTGATATGTGAAACGGTACCTGTATCCCTCCATCATCACTCTCCGAGATCCCTCCGCCCCCCACCTGAAGAAGGGCGCTATAGAGCGCACTACAGAGGCGCGGCGGACACAAGGGGGCGCAATAAAATCCCAATATAAACGCAAACAATGACTTTGTTGTGCTTTTAGTACAGAAATGTTATTATCATCACTCATCACTATTATTATTATGAAGAACATGTGATTTCTATGTTTTGTTGATGTATCGGTTGATGGAAGAAAAAAAAAATTAAATGCCGCCCCCTCCAGACTGCCGCCCTGTTCGGCCGCACATGTTGCACATATCAAGCTCCGCCACTGAACCCAAGCACATTTGTTCTGTAAGGGCAGCCTAAAACAATACGAGCAGCTTTATTTTGTGCTACTTTTAACTTATGCAAATTATTTTCACTTGTACTGGACCAAATAATAGATGATTGATCTACACAAGAAAGCACTAACGATTGGACAAGGCTTTTAAGTAAGTATTGTGGTATATATTTGCAACAAAGTTTAATTATGCCCATACCTCTCCCCATTTTCTGTAAAACATAATTAATCTGGCTTGTCCATGATAACTTACTATCAACTATTACTCCCAGTAATTTTACTTCTTCTAGTTGTTCCATTACATTGTTACTCAGAGTTAAATGTAACTTTGGCATCGTCTGTAAAGTATGTTTGGAGCCAACTACCATGCATTTAGTTTTTCCTGCATTAATCACTAGTTTGTTAGCAGTTATCCACTGCTCGACTGTTCTTAACTCTTTATTAATATTTCATTCAATGCACTCTGCGTATGTGCTGAAGCTAAAACAGTAATGCCATCTGCATATACTGCTGTAGTCGCATGTTGCAGCACCCACGGAAAATCATTCAAAAAAATAGAAAACAAAAGAGGTCCCAAACAACTTCCCTGTGGAACATCACATTCCATCTGACCTTTTTCAGAAAAACTGCCATTGAAATAAAATTTATGATCTCTGTTAGTAAGATAACTTTTTGTCCAGTTAAGAGCAGATGTATGAAATCCATAGTGTTTAAGTTTTTGTAATAAAATATCATGATCTAAAACATCAAAAGCCCCACTTAAATCAAGAAATATAGAACCAATTAGCTTATTATTATCGATATTCTCTAAGCAATAATCAGTTATTTGAATATGTGCAGTAGTGGTTGAGTGATTCGTTTTGTAAGCATGTTGATATTTTGTGTTCATTTCATATACCTCAAAAAAATCTTGAATTTGGTCATATGCAGTTTTTTCCACGATTTTACTTAAAGCTGGTAGCAAACTTATTGGTCGACTGTTTTGAACAGACAGTGGTTCTCTATTGTTCTTAATTAAAGGTATTATTTTTGCTGTTTTCCATTGAGATGGGAAAATACCTTCTTTAAAACTTCCATTTATTATATGAACAATAGGACACGAAATAAAATCTACTACTAACTTTAACCATTTTATATCAATATTATCTATGCCAGATGGTTTATTTTTACTTTTTAATATTATCTCCTTAACCTTGTCTTCAGTCACTTTAACAAATTGAAATTGACAGTTTTTATTTAACATAATTTTTTGTTTAATTAGTTGATAGGAAATATTTTTGTTTTGACTATTTTCCACAGAATCTCGCAACAACTTAAATTTCTTAGTTAAAAACTGGTTTAAATAATTAGCAATTTCTGTTGGTTTAGTGAGATAAGTTCCCCCCAAATCCAAAAAAGTTGGAGCTGACCTATTATGCCTACCCATCATTTCATTCAATGTACCCCATAATCTTGCACCGTCCGATTTTGCATCAGTTAGTCTTTTTTGATAATATAACCGTTTTTTATGATTATTTAATTCAGATACAACGTTTCGTAATCTACAATACACTTTCCATTTATCTGGACTAATAGTTTTTACCACTTCATTTTGCAGTTTATCCCTCTGCCTCATATATTCTTTTAAATCTTCATCCAGCCATGGAGCAGATACCCTTCTCACAGCACGTTTCCTTATAGGAACATGTCTGTCTAACACCTTTGTTAACAATTCGTTGAAAACTGCCACTGCTTGACACGGATCATCTTCACTTAAAACCTGTGTTCAACTTATTTTCCTCACATCTTCTATGAAGTCACCTTCATTAAGGTATTTAAATGTAACGTGATGAAGGAACCATGTCTCCCCTCTAACAGCTGTTCTGTTTGACACAGTGTCAGAGTGCATGAAACAGCCAGGGTCATGCATTCACCTCTAATGTTTACATTCCAGCAGTGAAGACAGAAGAACAAAGAATGAACTCTTTTATTTTAATTAATCAAAGAACTCTATTTTAATAAAGCTAATCAAAACAACTGTTAGTCAATAATAACCATGTGACCGATCTGTGAAATCACAATGTTATGATTAATCTTTAATGACGTATTGTAGGCACTAGTCAGCTGATTCACAAGATAAATAGTCATGACACATTCCGGTTGCAAAATCCAATCAGAACCTTCACATCTGAAGCGTGGCAGAGTCTCTGTGGTGTTTATTTAATCTGTCAGCTGTGATTCGTCCACAATCGAAAACACCAAGATTAATAAGTCAGAACAACGCCATTTTGAGTTCAGTATTCAGCCAGCTCTCAAAATCTCCTGAAGTTCATCATTGCTAAGTGGAGTACGGACCGGCCATCTGTACGTTTTACTTTTAAGCTGAGAACTGCCAAGCTGGGAAATCCTGTCGTTGTTATCAACGAAACAACGGTTCCTTCAGAATAAAAGCTGAACTCGCTGACCCGAAGGGGGGTCCCTTTGACGCTGTGAAACACCTGCCGTTTTGACCTGGAGACTATCCAAAGGCTGGTTTGTCGTGCTGAGGGCGCTGTTTCATCGGCTTCAGTACAGAGGAGGGTCCGTGGACCTGGCAGCCTGAGCTAAGACGGGAGTCCCTGACGGGTAATGTAGAACGGCACAGATAGCGTCTCATGTGTTTTCTGACCAAGGTTCAAACGTTGACCCAGATGCTAGAGAGCTAGCCTTCATCATCAACTTACCTGTTGTGTCTCCAAATGACATTCATAGATTAAGAGATGTGATGAATGTAGGTAACTGGGTTGACGACACTCTTGTCAGGTTACATACGCCTCCGGTCGTCGCGTAGCATGAGAACGCACCACACGTCAGGTTAGTCCCGCACTTGCGTGTGTGTTCTCTCACCCGTGGTCTCCACTTGTGTCCAGGCACACCTTTTCTGCACGGCGGCGCCGGTGGTGTGTGTGGCATTGATGAGTTGTCAGATAAATCTAAATGTCCGATGACTGTGAAAGCACGTTCACACGTTGTGAGTTGTACAGCTGTTGTTGTTGGTAACCGTTGGTTACTTAATGCCCCTGCTAGAGAAGCTGAAGTTTGCTTTGAGCAGTTTGGTGTGTCTACACGAGTGGAGCTTCCCTCTAAAACCGGGGTGGGCAATCCTGGTCCTCGAGGGCCACTATCCCACATGTTTTACTGTTTTCCCTGTTTCAACACACCTGATTTCTATCAGCAGGAGATTGTGGCCACTAAGATTCCACCTAAATCAACAATTTATAGAATCATCAAGAACTTCAAAGAAAGAGGTTCAATTCTTGTTAAGAAGGCTTCAGGGCATCCAAGAAAGTCCAGCAGGCGCCATGATTGTCTCCTAACAAGGATTCAGCTGTGGGAGGAAGAGGAAAACAACAAATAACAATGTGGGAACATCGCTGATATTCCAGTTCAAGAATATCCAGACTTTGGATGAATGCCACATATATCCACACCTTACAGTCCTTGTACTTTTCCTCAGTTGACTGCAAACCCCCTCTCCACAATCAGCTGGACACTCAGGTTGTTCCTCGTTTCTCTACACTCCCCTCTAAGCAGAAATCAACTGGACAGACATTCACTGCCTCATTCGTGGAAAAGTAAGAATAACTCTCAATAGTGTGTAGGGCTGCCACAAACGAATATTTTAGTAGTCGACTAATTGCCAGTCTTGTTGACGATTAGTCGACTCATCGTGTCATTCATAAAAGTTTAGCTTATTGCACCAGGATGCTCTGATATACACTCATTAGCTTCTAGCTATGTGCCATCTAATGATAAAGACAAGATAGCTTATCAAACAACTTTAACTAACTTTGTAACCTGTTAATACAAATGCTGCAGTCAGATGGAGGTAGGAAGCTGAAAACAAAAACAAATTGCACAAAGAAATGACTCTTGTTCACAAAAGGCATGGTGGCAAGGCAGAGTGCTTCATCTTCCAATCTTAACTCAGGAAATGGCAAGACACGCCAAGGTATGCCTGTAGCACGACTGGTCCGCACGTCAGCAGTCAGGGGTCACGTTGCACACACACACACACACACACACACACACACACACACACACACACACACACACACACACACACACACACACACACACACACACACACACACACACACACACGCACACACACACACACACACACACACCTTAAAAGTTGCTTAATTCTTCTTTTCCATCATGGCGGTGAAGTGGGATGGGTCTGGTAGATAGTTGTCGTGGTAACCTGGGTCGAGCTGCTTGATCACCTCTGAAACCTTGATACCGACCATGGACAGGATTTTCGTGACCAACATGCTCATAACGGCCTCAGTCAGGACGTTAGCTTGCTGAGGTGTGCACGTAACAAGCTCAACCATTGAAGAGGAGCACTTTTAGCAACACTGTAACGTAGCGGGATGACAGTTAAGATGCTCGTGAATCACCGTTGCGCTCCTATGGAGAGTTTCCCTCTGCATAGACAGACAATACCAACATCAGTTTGTTTAGCTGACAGAGCTTTTGTGTAATGCATGCTGGTATAATAACAGCACATCCATGTCTGTCCACAGAACTATGAGTACTTGTTGCTTTTATCTTTTCTGCTCCTCCATTAGACAAACCACTACTTCCTTTCATTTCACGTTACCCCGGTCCAAATCCGACAGCTGGATAT